TAGAGAGGTCTTTCGGGGTCATGTTGCAAGAGCACGATGCCGGGACGCGGCGACGCTCTCTTGCGACAGCAACCCTGAATGCAGCAGGATCTGATCTACTTATTTATTTAAATATTTATACGACCTGCCCCCATTTTGTAACGAGCATATCGATTTCGCTTTAAACTCTTATCGACGAAGAAAATAAAGGTCCTATCGCATGCAAATTTCTAAAATAATTTGCATACTAATTCGTTAAATGATTCATGGCTTGTGTACTATTTATGCGGGAAAAATCATAATTTAGAAATTATTATTTGTTAAAATAATTAATCAAAATTATCCATAATTAATTCTAAAATATTTCTCAATTCTTTGCTCAATTTATTATACCTCCCTGTGTCGCTCGCGTTTAGAGAAAACCTACTTACAGCAGTGAGAAAATGAAGCTTCCATCGCACGACACGATCGTCTCTTCCGCGTTCGTTCGTGAATTCTGTCGACTACGAGCCGTCACAAATTTATTACCCGCCTCGGCCACCCGCCTCGGCCGTGGTCCTCAAAGCTCGCAGGGTACTCATGCAAGGGAGGACGAAGGCGAGAGCGTAGCCTCAGGCGGGACTTTTTGCTTGGTACACATGTGGCCGGCTAGCGGCGATTCGGGCCCGATAAAAGCTCGAGTCCGAGATGATGACGGCCGAGAGAGAGAGAGAGAGAGAGAGAGAGAGAGACGGCCGGCGTACGGACCGTCGCGTCGTCCGCCAACTTGAGCGAATCGCAGTGTGCGATGGTGCGCACATCCGCGAACTCGGACAGAGGAGGGAAAGAGAGAGAGAGAGAGAGAGAAAAAGAGGCGCGTACGCGAGCGTGTGCCGTGCATTATACACGTGCAACGCTCGCTGGTCAGCGATGGCGGACCGGTCAAGCAAAAAGCGTTTTCTCTCTTCTACGTCCAGTGTGAGAATGAGCTCGGTTATCGATTACGCGCAACGGAGAGAGCGATGCGATTCATTAAACCCCTTCGCGGTACTACGTTTTCTCTATAATTATATAATAATAAAATAATATGATAAATTATAAATAACGGCACAATTATAATATTCGTTTTTCTTTTTGCTTTTAGATTATAAATCGAGATGGGTTATTTCGTCATTCCGAGATATTTCAAAGCTGTTTCTTGGCGTGACAAAAATGGAGGAAAATTTATAGAAAAGCCAGTTTGCGCGACTAATTCGTTAGTTTAAAAAAAATTTGTTACCTTCGCACTCGACGTGCTCATTTCGGTTGTTAAAGTGACGTTTCTCGGTTGCAACGATTATGCGAGCCTGCGAGCTACAGTGGTGCTCTCGCTACGGAACGAGGTATTTACGAGTTTTACGAGAAAATCGTGCCGTAGACGTTTTTACGATGTCGCTCAAAACTCTCCTCGCGTTGATGACGATGACGACGACAACGGTGACGACGATGCTCGTAAAAGTCGTTTCGTTTCGCCGCGACGATGTAAGATTCGGGCTGATAAGCGGAAATTCGAGTATTCAAGAGTGTCGGTTTTTACGAAAAGTAAAAAAATAAAAAAAAAAATTTTATGTTCCTTCGCACTCGCGTGCTCATTTCGGTTGTTAAAGTGACGTTTCTCGGTTGCAACGATTATGCGAGCCTGCGAGCTACAAGTGGTTGCTCTCGCACGAACGAGGATTTACGAGTTTTCGAGAAAATCGTGCCGAGACGTTTTTACGATGTCGCTCAAAACTCTCCTCGCGTTGATGACGATGACGACGACAACGGTGACGACGATGCTCGTAAAAGTCGTTTCGTTTTCGCCGCGACGATGTAAGAATTTCGGGCTGATAGGACGGAAATTCGAGATTCAAGAGTGCGGTTTTTCGAAAAGTGTCCCACTTTTCATGTCTACTCGATTATTCAATTTCATCATATAAGCATTCTTCATTCACTTTATGACACTTTCTAACGTCTTTTCCAAGAAAGCCCATTCGCTTCGACCGTAACTCGAGCAACAAGTAGTTAATAATCGCGTATACATATGCATTATCTTATCGCAGAGATCAAATTGCGCTTGATAGCATCTATATTTTTATATGTGTTTCACGCAATGTTTTTTATTCAAGTTTCTCCAATTATTAGTTTCGCTTACGAAGAAATCATTAGTTTGTTCGTTGAAGCGATAGTAATAAAAAATTAAAATTTAATTATGTGAAACAAATCAATTTCACTATTCAATTAACGTCAACATTGTGATCTCATGTATCATGAATATCTTAAAATATTGCACTAATTACAGCTTAAAAGATAGATTGAAATATTTATTTATTCAAATTTCAATTTCAGTGTAAAAATTGCTCTCATTATCATAACATAAATTATAAACAATAATTTAATGAATTGGAGCGCTTTTGCAGTTAAATTCCTCGGTTGTGCCAGATCAGAGAATATTCCCTGAGCCCTCACGTTTACGACGGCGGATCGTGCTCCGGTGGCACGCTTCGGGTCGCGAGCGGTCATAAAACAGCGAGGCCTTGTTTTGTCTAATAGCTCAAAACATCGTCGCCAAGATTAACGAAAAAGTGCCACCACCTTGCCCACACCGTCCTCCTCCCCTCTCCCCCGCCTCTCTTTCTCACTCCAGACCGATAAATTTTCTCGCGCGCTTGTCAAAACGTTGGTGGGATCATAAATTTCGTCCGGTCCCGAACCGGAGTGGGTTATTAACGCGCGACCGACATTTCGCGGCCACCAACGACCCCCGCAATAGCGTTTCCTCGCCGCTACGGCACCCGTTAAGCCACCGTCACCGTCGGCGAAACACGAGCGGCGCACCGTATATCACCTCGGGCCTCTCCAATTTGCCAGGTGATTTTTACGAGACCGCCGCGCGCTTTTACCGAGAAAACGTGACGAATCGAATGACGAATCTTTGTCGCCGATGACGCCATGGGCGAATTTTAATGTTACTCACAATATATAAAATAATATTAATACTAAGTGTAATAAAGCAGATGAAGAAACGGTTGGCTAACGACCCAACCGGCGCTAACTCGCCGCTGCCGCCGGCGAGGCTTAACGCTTTAACACTTACGTTATCTCTCCAATAACGTTCATCGCGGGTGAATTCAAAAGTTATCCACTAGAGATCCGTAAGAGAGGAGCGCGCGTCCTCGAGGAATGCGAAGGATGCGGCCCCATGTTCGGAGAAGCCGAATTTGTCCGGCTCGAGGACTTGGCGTTGTAAGGACCCGACGGCGGTGGGTGCTTCAGGCTCGAGGACACTCCGGCGTTTCCCCGAGCTGTCATGCGCCTGACGGCGGAGGGAAGGGTTCCCAAAGTGCCGGTGTGTATCCATCGAGCCATCCGCGGCACCGATGCTCGTCGCCGCGAGGGGGAGAGAGAGAGAGAGAGAAAGAGAGAGAATCGGCGTTGTACATGAACACCGTATAGAGTTTCCTGCTGCTCGCGCAGTCGAGTCCGGCTGCTTTCCGTCAAAAAGCCCCGCGACGGCCGCGATACGTGGCCCTCCGAAGCTTTTTCATACGTTCGGCCCGTTTGACACTTGATAGCGCCAGCCCGGCCTATTAGACCGCGTATTAGAGAACCTACGCAATGCGTACGTACCCGCTCACACGCATACAGACAAAATGCTCGCGCTTGTACGGAAAGATACATGGAATGACGTAGGCAGACATGGACACGTGGTCCATGAGTGCGAGTATGCGATGCGAGGCCTCACGAGGCATTCTCCTGCTCCTCCTCTTCTTCTTCTTCTTCTTCTTCTTCTTCTTCTTCTTCTTCTTCTTCTTCTTCTGCGCCTTCTTCTTCTCGTGACTTCGAGGAGTCGTTTCTTGCCGCCGTCCGTCCGTCAGATACGATCTTTCCCGTTTGATAAATCACTACCGGAAATTCCGACAAAAACACGTATCGCTCTCTTTCTCTCTCTTTCTCGTTCGCGCTCTAAATGTTTAATTGGCGGGCACCCGTTAGAGTGTTTCTTTTCCACGCGAAGGAAAACGTTGCTTTCAACTGATATCGCACGCTTACCTGCGCTTTATGTTAAAGTTTTGGTATATTTATGATGTACTATAAACTTACGATAAATAAACATTACGATATATTAACATAACGTAAGAGTATCTCAAAGATATCATAAATACAAAATATAAAGAATATTTTTAAACTAGCATAATTGTACTTCGCACATCGTTCATCTACTAGTCGCTAAACCGCTTTTCACTCATCTTATCGTTTTATGCTGAAAATAATTATATAATTATGATACCAATAAATTTGTAAGAAAATTTTTACTTTTTAAAGTAAACGTCATTTCTAAAAAAAAAAACGGTGAGTTTTATTAAGAATCCTGATCGCTAAAATATTGATAAAATATATTCAATAACGTTTTTATATATTTCGATTTTCGACCAGATACAGATTACAGATTTGGACCACTGCGCTGCGCCAAAGGAAATAGCTGGAAACAGAGGCTTCTTTATGTGGCTTATTTATTTATCTGTCAACAATTATATGGAGATGCGGTCAACAAGAAACTGGAGGGATGGAAATGATGAAGGAGGCGCACATAAATGTCCAACAATCAATAGATTTTAATTATCTGGAAACGTTCAATTATAGTATCCTTTTCCTTTCTGCTTTCTTTCCTATATTTATTTGTTAATAATATATCAAGAGAATGAAATATATATTTTTATGAATATTAAAAAAAATATACAAGTAACAAACATCGTTATATCATCCGTGGCTCTGTGTCGTATAAATATCAGATAAATGTAAAACAATAGAGAACAAAATAATAGAATCATTCGCGATGACTTTACAGCTGATGTTTAATTATATATTATAATAACTTATATTTATCTAATTGTATGTACTTATTCTTATATTATTAACTAATTAACTTTTAATATTTATTTAAATATTTTCCTAATATCTTTCTCGTCTTATATTTCTTATTATATTACGTGTATAGTTATTATGACAATATAATAACGTAATTAAACATCATCACTGAATTTTATTAGCAAAAAATCTATATAAATTCCGCTAGATCACATTTTGATTCCTGAAATTTACTTTCATCTTCTCGTTCCTCAGGGAGTTAACACCGGCCACGGCCCGTTGATACCTAAACAAAATCAGCTTTCACAATGATCTCAGAATTATATCTATCTGTCAGTTCATTGTGAAAACCAGTTTCGTCTTAATTGACGGCGATGACTCCGATTTCATCGTAGCTCGATAGCATCGTCCTAATCGTAAGACAGTAATTCTAAGATTATATTTATTAATTGGAAAATAAAAACTTAATTAATTGGAAAATTGCACATAAAATTCAGATAAAGAGAACCATTTATCAATTTAAGATAGTGCAAAGATCAACAGAAATTCGTTATATATACATTTACACATTTTAATAGGCGCTTGGAGCTCCTCAATCTTCCGCGTCATCAATGACCCTGAAAATAAAAGAAAATGAGTTAGTTTTGATGAATTTTTGAAGAAGAAAGGATGAAGGAAAAAGGAAAAGGCTGCTCTCTCCTCTCATATCGTTCACGGCTTTCACTTCTGCGGATTTTTAAAATGAAACGCGACAAATGCCCGATGCCTCGAAGGGAGATGCTCTTACCGGGCCTTGAATTTCTGTGAAGGTCCTAAAATAACAGGCAGACGTGTGCCAGACGTCGTCAAAATTCGTAATTTCGAGAATCGGTCACCCTTTGTGAACACCGTCCTCCCCGTTGTCTCTTTGTGCCTTGAACGCTCTTTTAGGGGAGGCGGATGGCGATACGAGCGATACATTTGTTGCGAGGGATGCACTTGAACGTGTCTCATTTACTTATAAATAACTATTATGTCTGCAGCTTTGTCGCGTGCGCACGTCCCGCGTCACAGCGACAAAAATATCGTACAACTCGGATAAAGAAAATAAAATATGAATACATCAAGACGATATAAGATTAAGTAAAATTAATTGCATATGTTGCATGGCAATAATTAATGATATCTTCATCGGATTTAATCAAGAGATACGGTAGCGTTTCCCGCCGAATGTATTAAGAATATAGCGATGAAGTGGTCAAAGGTGTTGTGGCTTATCGATTAAGACGCAAAAGATGGAGCTTTAAATCTCTATATTCACTCTCGTTATCATCCACAAAGAATTATCACTCACGCGCATTTATTACCGAGACCCCTCTACCTTCTTAACAAAAGTAATGTTTATGCTTTGAGAATAAATTGACATTGAGAGTGTGAGACGCACAGAGCGGTGTCGCCGGACAGGTCAGACACCATATGGACCGAAGCACGCGGCGGAACACGATGACCTCGAGGAATGCGGGGAACGATGATCAGTGATATTTAAACCCTCATCGATCCTTAATCGACAGATCTACTTGGGAGGTTTTCATCGTACCAGCGGGGAATGTTATAAAGCGATTTAAAAACTGATGTTTAATATCCCCGCGACGCGGATGAATAAACGTTTCTTACAGAAAACGTGTATTATCGCGTGTCTGTTAATTCCTTATGTGATACCTGCGCTTTTTTTTTTAATCCAATGTAAATTCGCATGAAAACTATAATTTTTGCGGAATGAAAAACTGAAATAATCTTCAAACGATATCCAATACATTCTCATACTTCGCGAATGAAAAAAGATTAATCTTTTCTGAAGGATTAATTCTACGATAGCTTGCGCGGATACAAAATCAAGCGTGTATAAACGCGAATTTACGCTCGCCGTGATTTTATCGTTGGTCAGTAAACGTTCGTAAGGGTCCATCACGATATATATGTATATATATATTATTTTGCACGTGCGTTATCGGTCGACTGATAACGGCGCGCCGGTTACACGAAGGCCTGATAAAGATACCGCGTGACCTCGCGACCCGATGGCTATGTTCCATGGAAGAGCGTGAACGAGATGAGAATGAGCAACGCGTGAGGATTCGAAATCTTCATTTCCTTCCATTCTACCGGGAGTTCCAGAATCGCATGTCCTTCGAATTTTGTAAAAAAGAAGTGATTGCTTCGTTAGTACCGCATTGACAATCATTTAACATTCAATATTGATAGATTTTAAAGAATTGAAGTCAAATGTGTATAAAAACATAATTGACGAAATTTGATTCATTTTACAATTAATTTTAATTGAATTGTATTTTGACAAAATTCAATGTCAATCTTAGATATCAAGATAGTTTATTTTTGACATTGACAATATTAAAAATATAACTTATTGATCTTTAAAGAAAGGAAGGATTGAGATTTCAAAATTTCTCGTAGAATCAATGACTGAAAGGACATTCAGTGATTTTGGATCATCCAGTATAATTCGTGATGATGTCAGTTTGTCATCCCGCAGAATTCGTAGATCTTGCTTGAACGGTATCCACTGTTTTCCATTCCGTATTTCTGGGATAGAGAGTAGCGTATTAAAAGAAGAGGATGCATCGTAACGTCGATATCTCGTAATGGTCGGCGCACCGCCGACCGGTTTGCTTGCTGATTACGCCGCGTGCGTTAAGCCCTTCCGAGAATCTGGTTGCTTTTATCTAATTAACGCGGTCAGATCGGCCGCGACAGTTATCCGACGGTCTGGAGCGATCGTAAAATTTAACGAGAAAGCATCGTAATATACGCGCGCGAAGTTGTTGGCTGTTATCGAGATTGCCACATATTATCGTAAATTGTTGTCCACTAATCGTGTTTATGAAAAAAAAACGCGAAGAATTAAATCTTGGAACGATTGTTCGAATAATTCTTTGAATCAATACGTAAATTAAATTATTCGAGCGAATAAGATCAAGCTGCTTCCCTTAACTTCAGATTTATATTGCTTCGCAAAAATAGACAATTGTTATTTTCACTGAAAACACTACGTAAGATAGCACACTTAATAATCTATTAATTCACAATAAAAAAATAAGAGATTAGATATCTATTCATTCCGATTCAAGAATTTAATCTGAAATAAAAAAAAAACAATAAGAAAAAAATATATAAATAATATAAAATATAGAATTAGTAATAAATTAATAATATAATAAACATAACATTTATATAATTATTTATAATAAAAAATTATTCCTTAGTCATTGCGCTTGAAGAAAAGTTAAATATACATTCATTCCTAATAATATAAATAAAAATACATAACAATAATAACATAAAAAAATTATATTCAAGAATTATCGCAGCTGTTATAAAGAAAAAAATTATAGCGACTGTTAATAAAGTGACTGATATCAAAATGGTCGATACATGAAGTAACATTATCTAATGATAATTGTACCGACATAGCGTGTTACCGATTGTAAGCAATACAAAATCGACATGATTGTTGGCATAATAATTTTCTGCGTTACCGACAATGTTCTGCATTATCCAGTGTATGTCAAAATTAATTTGCATATATAAAATGCACAGCAATAAAAAATTATTACGCAAAAGTTCATCGAGCAAGTGCAAATGGAAATAAAAAGATGTGCAAATGTTTCTCATCTACAATTCAATTTCGACAAAAATATATTTGTAAGAGATAATTTACTCAAGTAACCAACACTGCTAAAAAAAATTTTGCTTGTTAGGATAGAATTAAACTATAAACATAAAGCATGCAAAGAAAATTGTACCTAAAAGATCTCTTATTATAAATGTAGATATTTCTATTTTTTTTTAAACACGCTGTATGTTTTTATGTATTTTCATAAAAATTCAAAACTGCAATGCAAGTTCGAGTTCCAATGCTCTAATTTAAACATATCAATCTTTATATTTATTTGCGACAATGGTATAGAATGAAATTTCCATATCTGCGTCATCGCTTGGGGAATTGAGCTCATCGAAATTTATACCGGTTTTTAATCGTCGAATTGTCTCGCGCGAAAGGGCGTAGTAAGCGGAAGAGGCGTAAAAGTCATTCAGTCCAGTGGCGAGCCATTGATAGAGGCGACGAAGCGAGGTCAGCTATTTGTACGCGTGACAGACCCCTTCGGAGAATCTCGCGTATGGACGAGAACGAAAGGTGGCACACTCTCGGAATCGGGTGTGTGAGTGCGTGACACATCCAACGTCGCGTTGCGTGTGCGGATCGATTCCGGTGTTCGATATGGTGGTCGACAAAAAAAAAAGAAAAAAATCTCACAAAAAAGATATCGAGAGATTATCCGGACCTCGTTAGAGCCCGGTCGTTATTCACTCGATATCACATGTCTTTCTCCGCTTCGCGATAGATCGCTTTGCACGAACGTTTACACAGCTGCTGAACCGCATCGATATCTGGGTACTAGATATTCTCTAGTTTATACAGTTACATATTTATATAATTCTTACTATTTTGCTTAGATAACGCAAGCGATTAAAAGACACTTCACTCTTTTTAATGTTTCTCAAACTCATATCTTATATTTGGAAGCATAAGAGCAATTGCAACTGTGTCATTCTTTGCTAACGATTTAAATGCAATTTGTGCGCTCAAGATATTTTTAAAATAATAATTAAATTTTAAATGACTAGCACAATCATTACTTATAACAATAATCGAGAGATTTTGATCAACCAAAATTAATTGTATACTTATAAAGAAATCGTTGCATCATGTTTTGTCATATATGGCACGTGTAAGACAAAGAGCTCATTGTATTTTTAGCACACTAATGATGCTCACACTATCGACTTTATCACCTTTAGTGATATACAGACATAAGATAAATCATGCGCGGAAAAGAAGTAACAATGGATTATACAAAAATTGAAAGTTTAACCATAAAAAGGAAACTAAGTGGACGGCTTAGTTTTGAGTACTCCCCGTAGTCTATAAATCATATTTCATATTTCATAAATTACAATTTTTTTTCGTAAGACACGTGGAAACGCGAGATATAATTCATACAATGCCTTTTAATTTTTCTATCGAAATCGGACGTACACGAGGCGAAGCAAAGGTCGATATTTGAGCGTTACGGTCTGGCGAATGAGACACGTCTCGAGATCGATTTGCATAGAATAGAAGCGCTGGGTATTCAATACGATTCGGAGAACATCTCGCGCGTCGCGAGTAACGAGCGATTAAAGAAACATTAACGCGTTACAAAACTACATTGAAAAAAGGCGTCGGCGGTGGCGGCATCGCGTTGATGTCATCGCCGAGTCACGATTATGAATGCCGATTAAACGAATGCCGTGCGCGTATCGCGTATGATCATGGAACGAGGGGATAAACCTGGTCGTGTATGCAGGAGGACGAAGAGGTAGATGTTTTCTATAAGAGTTCGATCGCGCGGGGAAGGAATACCTTGACAAGGCTGCCGCTCTTCTCTGGAATTTTCTCGCGAAGAGTTGAATAATTGGGTGAACGAGAAGTGGAGGCACGAGGAAAGAGAGAGAAAGACAGAGAAAGACTAGATGTATTTATAGCCTTTTCATCTACTGACTCTTGGATTAATTTAAA